CATGTCATAGGTGTTGACATTTGAGTGATGGTGGCATTGTAAATATTTTGAGTTACTTTGGTTTACCACCTTGAGAACTTCTGTTGGCACCTAGGCACATGGTATCTTTAGCTTGCTTTGAAAACTGACCTTAAACTACTTGTGATCAGTAGATAATCTCTGGAGCTGACCTGGTTCATGTTCATCCTCTGATAGTGAATGAAGTGTGAAGAATATATTTATTAGCTAATGGTATTGGATTATATGCAGAGACTTATAACATGTATTTGCTTTTCTTATTGAAGTCCAATTCTAAATGGCGCAAGTGCTGAAGGCAGCTCAAAGGTCAATTTGGTATTCAAGATTTTTTTTTTTTTTAATTAATCTTTGCTGTATCAATTCTTTATAGCTGAACATGTGGGAAGAGAGAACAGATCAGGTAGTGGTGATATTTTTCTGCTACTTGAACCTACCTAGTCAAATTGTACGGAAAGTATTTAGCATACACTGTGGTTGAACTTGATGTCTCAACCAGGCTTGCCTTTTAAAATGGGCTTAGATGGGGGGAGGTTGGTGGGACTTTCTGTTTTGATGTCAGCTTTTAAAAGAAGGGGTTGTCCTGAAAACAGGTAAGAGAAGGCATATGTGGAGTGGGATTGGTACATGAATTGCAGTGGATGTGTGCATGGTGTGCATAAGGAGAGGCTGGCTGGATGCATACACAACAAATAATTATGAAGGAGCTGTGTCTTCAGGGAGATTCTTTGTCCGAATCAGGCACTTCAAATAAAGATGTGGCTGGCATATATCTTCAGGGCTTGCTTTTCATAAAGCTGAAATAATAGGGAAGTGATGAGAGCAGATGAATTAAACTTAATATTTCTGGCTCAGGTTAATTGCAGTGGTCTGATACTACAACCACATGTTCAACCCTTGTTCCTGCTTAAGCAGAAGGGAAAAGAGACTAAGAAAGGACAGTTACTCAGTTGGGAAAGAACAAAAGTAGAACTGGAGAAGGATCCAAAAAGGCAATTGAAATGTAACTTTCACTTGGCATGTAAAGGAATAAGTCTGCCAATGGAGAGAAAAATTAAAAAAAAAAATTTCAGCTTTAAAGGGGGAAGAAGTGGATTGCTGCCAGGCTCCTAGCCTGGTCCCCATGGCTCCTTCAGGCAGCTGTGGATCTATTCCAGGGACCAGTAGCCCTTTGTTGCTGGCATCTCTTTAATAGATAAATAAATAAGCCTGCCTTCTGTAGGAGGGGAGAAGAATATCATATATGAGAATATGATGCTATTAGGACAGCAGGAGTGTTAGCACACTGTGAAGGTGGAAATAAATTGAGATGGATGAGCAACGCTAACGAGAAGTGGGGTGGGAAATCCTGTCACATTACAGGAGGACCAGCATGCCACTTGAGAATAATGTATCAGTGTGGGGGGAGTAGCAGATACCGACCACAAACTGTCACAGTGCAAACCTATTCTAATGCAACCACACCAGGGCATGGCTTGAGGGCAGAGTTTTGATTCCTGCGTCTTCGTAATGCTCATGGTTCTGAGAGTCACCCATCAACAGGGCAGTGCCTGTCACTCTTTAGGTAAAATTTATCATAATAAATTTTGAGATTGGCTGAGGTCTGCTTCATTGCTCAGGCTGCCTGTATTCATTTTACTTACTATCAACTGATGTTTAAAGTGAGGATTCCTGGCTGATTGCTGTTTGATGGAAAGGTAGAAAAGCCCAAGTGCGGAAAGGTAGAGAACAGATGTAGAAATTCTTGAGTTTTCCTGGCTATTACTGGCTCACAACAGTGTAAAGTAAATCATTTAACTTATTAGTGCTGTCTGCTCTCACTGCCCCACCAACATTTTGTCTATTAGAGGGAGGGTAAGATGCCTTCCAAGAAATGATGATGATGTCCTGATATGAATGGCTCACTAAGTGTACCAAATACATTATTGATTTGAAAGATAATGTCTGGATAGATAAATAATGAGCTTTATTCAAAGTCTGTTTGTATTCTGTTCTATCCTACATGATTCATAAATGAGGTCTTGTTCCATTTAAGGCTATTGAAAAACCAAAACCGGATACGTGAAGTCCAGGACGAGGATGTTCCACCCTAGCTGACAGAGGCACAGATCTCTCCCTTACCATGTGCTGTGGTAAGGATTAGGAGGCCCTCGAGATGAACTGGGAGTGGGAGCTGCTGACTGGGCAGCTCAGCTCCTCCAACTGAGGAGTGCCTAGGAAATAAAGCATTGTATATAACCCCCTCTTTGCTGTCTGAAAAACTACAGTTCGTTCCCAGCATCCACATTTTTCTCTAAGTTTCTCAGAAATCTGCACAGAACCACTGGTGTTCAAACCTGCACAGTGGAGGCAGCACTTTCAGGGTGCCCTGACACACAGGCTGCAGCGCTATATGCTTGCAGTAGGGCTGGGGCCATGACAAAATCCTTCTGTGCTCCTGTAAGAAGTCTGTGGCCTACACCATCTGAAAAAAAAAGTGGGCATTAATGCTGTAGGGAATGTAGGTTTGAGGCTTAGCTTAAATTAGACACACTAAAGCTCTCCTCTAAATGTTATTTAGCGTACACTAGACTCCAGGGTGTTAGTATTTTTAAGTCGTAACCAAGCCACATCAGTTATGCATGGTACTCTACTGCTAGAGCTACCTCCAAAGACAGAATTTTGTGATAAGATCAGTAATATTTTTTTGTGTGCTAAGTTTACAATAAATCCTTAGGTTTTGGAAGACATAAAAGAAAAATGCCTGTTTGTTCCCTTGTGATGTAGTTGTAACATCTTGAAAAGTTTTATTTTGGCATTTAAAAGAAAAATCAAAGATATAGTTTTGTCAAATATCTGGTTTAAAATCCTATACAACATATCTTTCTTGGTTGTCTGGTCAGTGCTCCTTAGACTGTGGCATAGTTTTTCACATCTAATCTGAGCGCATGGATAAATCACATCTCTGCTGCTTAATGCAGTCCCAACCTTAGAATGGCCTTTAGAGGCTGGTAGTTACTCTTTGATCGTGACTGATTTAAGGAGCCTTTCTAAACGTAGGTGTATTATGTGTCAACTTTCATCATTCTGGGCAGTTTCTTCTAAAATCAAACTTCTCTGTTAAACCTGAGGTTACTGCATTGTCGTCTCTGAGACTTTGAAACTGGTTTGTGTAGTGGTGTGGTTTTATGGCTGGCGTTGACATCTGTCATAGGAGAAAAGCATCAGGAAAACGTCGAGCCAAAATACGAAGTTTTTCTCATTGCATAAACCTGTAGGGTGGGAATAACTCATTCTAATATGGGAATGACTCATGCAAAATAACAGTATTAATATGCAGTTGTATTACCCATCTGCGTACTATGTCTTAACTCTAGTTTTTCCGCAAAGCCTTAGGTACGTTTCTTTTTCGATAACACCAGTGAGGTGTACCATTCAATATGCTTGCTCAAGCCCTTGCATACTTCACTGTGTTAAAACTGTTATACAAATTCTCCACTTACCCCTATGCCATACTAGCCAGTGTCTAGTCTTCGGCAGTGGTTTTCCAGCTTTACAAGAAGTCCTAAAAATGTCTGTTTCCGAGTTGGTAAGTGGAAGGATATGTCAGGCTCAGTGTCATCTTACCCTCCTGCTGTTTTCTCTAGGGTGGTAATAAGAGCACTTGTAACTCTGCTGTTTCTTAGTGCCCTGGTAGGGGGATCTCTGAAGGGAGCTTGTCTGTGGAGCTATATGCAATATGCTTATATTACTATATTACTTATCCATGGTAAGCACACTGTGTGGATGCAAAAATGCTTTTTCCACCCAGCTGGAAGTACCCTACTACAAGTGTCGGTTTAAAGTAACTGCCAACACCTCAAATGGACTTGGAATGACTAAACGCTTTCAGCTGGATTACTCTGCTACCATTGATTATTAAAGGAAGTAATAATGGTATGTTGGTATCCATAGGGAGTAGGTTTGTGTCTAAAATTAGCTTGTTTTGATTATAGTGCTACAGTTGCTAATTAAAATGCTTAGGGTTTTTGCTCTGAAAGCTTACAGTTCCTTAAACATTTTCTTTGTAGCTGCTTCATGAATTTGCATACATGTTCCTGTAACAAAGATCTTAACTAGCCACAGTTTGCAAGCTTTGTGGAAACTTTCTGCTGCTTTTATGACCTGTTTATTTTCCAAGTAACTGAATGCAGATCTTTATCGCTTAAATTCCTAGTGTAAAGTTGCTCTGAGTATTGTGGGGTTTCCTTGAGTCTATTGGAGCTTATTTGCATCTTTTGTCAACTCCAGAGAACATGCATCGGTTGTGGTAATGAGTTGGGTAAAATCGCTGGGGCTCAGGGACAAGGAGGTCAGACAGAAGCTGCTCTCCTCCTTGTCAGTTCTCTGAAGTACCCCCTTTGCTGGGGGAAAAATTCTGTATCTTTTCTCTCCTTCACCATCACCCCTATCTTGGAAGGGCTAGGAGGCCTTGCAGCCTTGGAGGGAGACTTAACCTCCTCTTGCTGGAGGCTTGTAAACCTTTCCCTGTCCCTCTCGTTACCGGGTAGGAGAGCTGTGAGCAAGGGGAGCGACATTCGCAGCAGCTCAGGGTGTGCCGGAGAGCACTGTATAGCTCTTCCCGTTCCCGGCAGTGGCAGGGTGGATGTGAAGGATGCCTCCCCGCTACGCTGGAGCAGGTGTTACTTTACAGCCTTGTAAAGAGCTGGTACGGTTTGGTGAGGCTGGCTACTGACTAGATGGGTTCGAATCCTTGGGTCTCTCTGGTAGGTGGGCTGGAGATTCCTTATCACAAGTCTAATGAACACAATTTATACAAAAAATAGCACAGTTGTTTTTTTTTCCTGTGAAAGGGGAATAAGTTCTTATTTATAAATAGCTTTGAAACTTTCTGCATAGTATTTCATTTTCCCGGTAAAAGCTTTACTCATTTGCAACAACATTTTTGAAATGAGATGTCCATATCCTGAAACTAAACTTGGTCCTGAAACTATATACCAGTAAACCTTTTCTTGTTGCTTTTTCTGCAGTCTGATCAGATGGCTGACCATCTTAACACGGTCTTTAGCTTTGTGCCTTTACACAGTTTGTTTAAATAAGTGTGCATCTATCTAAAGTGCCCTTAAAACTCCTTTTTTCCTGGTAGCAAACATTTGAGTCCATCCAAACTTTCCGGAGAGAAGAAAAATAGATTGAACTTAGTTGCAATGGCCTATGTAATATGTCAATGTCTTTTTTGTTGTTGTTGTTTCAGGAGCTGTTGGACAAATATTTAATAGCTAATGCAACTAATCCAGAGAGCAAGGTATTCTACCTGAAGATGAAGGGAGACTACTTCCGATACCTTGCTGAAGTTGCCTGTGGTGATGACAGAAAACGTAAGTACCTTGTGGTCTTCGGTTCTTTAATAGCTAATGAACTTCAGTTTTGGACCATGGGTGAGGGAACGGTAAATGAAGTACACGTGCCAGTATCTTACTCTGAATTCACGTGAGTTACATGAGTGGGAACAACTGTGTTTAAGTTGGAAATCTCCAGTGTTCATACAGGAGAGTAAAAATCTGAATGGACCTTAAGCATAGTATGCCAGGGAATTTTAGCTGGTGTTGCTGTCGTCTGCCCTAAATTTCTGGATAGTTGTTCCATAATGCTTATTCAGAGCTTCTGGAAAACAACTTAGGTGAAGGTCTGCTAACATATTTAATGTTGTTTGTTTGTATTTCTTCACTAAAATAACGTTGGTGAGGAAGAGTAAGTGGATCTCTGCAACATTTTTTACTTTGTGATGGAGTCCTGTTGATCTATAAGTCCTGTTGATCTATAAGTAGACTTCATTGTAGTCACCTAAGTTTATAAAGAAGCAACAAAATTACTAGGTCGTTACACTGTCCAAAGTAGTCTGAGCTGCACTCTGAAATGGTTCATGTTCATGGGGATGATACTGTCTCTGTAACTTTAGTTTGCCCTTTTGGATCCAGCAGAAAAGGCCTGGAAAACTTCACAGCTGGTACTGTGATACTGGGCATCCAGTACAGCTGGTACACTTGATACTGGGTATCCTGAGAATGTAGAACATTCCTAGAAGTTAGAACACATGCATAGGTGGCTGTAAGTACCTCAGGAAGCTCTTCTGGGGAGGATTTTAACTCTCTATTCAGAGGACCTATTGAATTAATATTAGAACTGTCTTGTAAGTGCCCAGATACTGTTGTGATGTTAAAAACTCTTGGTATGGCATAAGCTAGTGATACATTTCTACATAACAAACTAAAATTAGTCCTGGAGTGATGCTGTGACACAGAAAGGAGATGGACTGTTGGAGCAGGCAGAGCGCTGAAGTAGCTGTCCCTTTGGGTTGGGCACGGTAGGCATCTGACAGTGTTGGCTAGTTTAAACCGATTGAATTGCAAAGTGGGAGGACAGAGCTGATTGTCACTTAAATAAAGGCTTTGTTAGTCTCCTTGTATTGTAAGAGCATTTAAGTTGAAAGATGAAAATAGACAAAACTGAGTAAAAGTCTTTGCATTAATGAGTTGTATTCAGAAATTCTTAACCCTTCTCCTGATTTGAATGACAACAGCAGGTCCAAGTGTGGCAGAGACAACTAGTCTTTGGCTTTCACAAAGATAATCCGATTTATATTTTGTCTCCAGCAACAGTTACAAATCTGTGGGCTTGTCTGAGCGGAGAAACACCAGTTTATCTTGGCTAAAAAGACTGCATTTAAAGTGATGCATGCTGATATGGGTGCTTACTGTAGAAGAGGGACTGATTGATAATCTTATTAGCAGATCTTGGTATTTTGCTGGGAAGTTACAGCTTATGTGTATCACCGTGCATACATTTTGTGCTTGACTTCTCACAAACTTCTAGGAGTTTTACTTGAAGCTTTTCTGATGTTCCATCTCTAAGCATCTGTTTATTTTCTCAGCTTCAAATATGTTTCATGTACTTATAAGCTAATTTATTTCCTGCATTTGCTAGGTTTTTTGCCTTTTTTCACCTGTTCTCAACAAATTAATAACCTATTAGCCCTCATTACAGTGTGAATACTGAAAAACCCAAGTCTGTGTTGTGACTCTCTTGAATACTTAACAGATTTTACTTCCAGAACTTTTTTTTTCCCCAGCACTTTCTAGGGCAATTATGGTATTAGCTCCCTCAGAGCTGTATTCTGAGCTCTGACAATGGCCTTTCTTTTCCTGTGGTTTCCTTCCATTCTGCAGGCATGTTTAGGGCGGCTGTTGGCGGCCCTTTGGTGGTCTGTCAGAAGAGAATCTGGAATAGACTATATGTAGCATGCTTAAAGTACTCATTCTGGCCTGGTAACCTCTTTTCTCTGTGATATTTCTCCCAGTTATTTTGGCCATGACCTTGGGTTTTTTATCTTGACCTGTCTACACCCAATTTTTGGAGGCAGACTTTGAGTTTTTCAGAAACACGCAGTGCATGCCTTCTAAAGGAGAAGAAGTAGAGCCATACAGACAGTAGCTGCCTTTACTCTGCACACCCGACTCACACAAGCATGTCCATCCTGTGCAAGGAATGAAGCAGCAGTTCTGTAGAAAAACTAATGCACAATTTTTTTTTTTTGTACCTGAAGTATCAAAGGCCATTGAGGTAATATAGTAATCTTGGATGTTTTATATTTACTAACTTCTGTGTATTTATCTGTCTCTTGAATACCTTTGCTCTGTAGTAGCTTAATTTGCTCCCTGTGTTTTGTCAGTGTGGCAGCTGTACTTAAAATGGGTTTAAAATCATTACCTTGATTAAAGTAAGTGCAGTGTTTTGCTAAGAGTGGGCTTAAATAGAGGACTGTTCAGTCTCTTACTAATGGAGTACTTTTAAGTAGTCGTATCTTTAAAAACAAAACAAAAAACCCAACAACTTAATGTTTCTCATTCTTTTAACAGAAACAATAGAAAACTCACAGGGAGCTTATCAGGAGGCATTTGATATCAGCAAGAAGGAGATGCAGCCAACACATCCGATTCGCTTGGGTCTAGCTCTTAACTTCTCTGTATTTTATTATGAGATTCTCAACAATCCTGAGCTTGCCTGCACACTGGCAAAGACAGTAAGTTACTTTTTTCTTCTGTATGCCTGCAGGGACAGTAGAAGAGAGTTTATGCTTAAAATAACGTGAACGATTATTTCCTAGAGTTTATGCAGGAAATGGTCCTATTTAATGTACCTGGTTTCCAAGCTCATTGTTAGTGAGTTTAAAGGGGTACAAGCAGGCTATATTTACAATGTCACTTAAATTTCCAGCAACACAGCAAGATTTTATTATGCCTTTATTATGCTTCCGTTTCAAATAGAGCAATTCAGGTCATTAACTCCTGATGTTGCCTCTTTTCTTTTTCTTTTTTTTTTTTTTTTTTTTTAAAAGCTACCTTTACTGATAGGCTTAACTTCTGGTTGTTTAATGATCGGTTAATAGAAAGACTAAAGATGGCTTAATTATTCTAGGCGTTTGATGAGGCTATTGCAGAACTTGATACACTGAATGAAGACTCATACAAAGACAGTACTCTCATCATGCAGTTGCTTAGAGACAACCTAACAGTAAGTCGCCTTTTCATGTGCTATCTGGCTCTGTAATCATGTATTTCTTAGACTGAATTTGTGATGAGACAAAACCCTTATTTCGCTCTAGTGCAAAACATAGCACTGATTCAGGCTATTTACCCTACTATACCTTTTCATAAGTTAGTTTGAATGTAGTGTAAGTTGATGTCAGCAACTTCATGCTGTGTAATAGCAGCTTGGATAGCTCACATTCTTCATTGTTTGCTGGCCTTTTCAGTAGAGGGGGAGAAGGTGCATTCAGCTAACTAACATACAAGATAGAACAAGAAGTCAAAAAATAGTAGTCCGTGATCTGTCAGGGATTCTTACTCAAGCTTTTTGATGACTACCTCAGAAACAAAATGTCTTTCCTGTTGTACATCCAGTGCAGCTTGGTTTATTCATTTTCCTGATATTCATTTAAAAGAAAAGAACTGGAATTTCAATGTATTAAGAATAAAATCAGTTTATGTTTGAGTATGTATTAACTGTTTAAGAAAAGTGCCTAACGGAACTGCTTCTATTAAAGTATGTAACAAAGGCAATTTTTTAGGGAATGTCCTCTCTGGATATTCATTGCATTTAAAATTACAGCAACGTTTATTATTTTGCAATACTCCCTTCAGTAGAAATGTCTTTTATTAGCACTATAAAACGCTTAGCTCCAATAACCGAAATGGTAATCTTCACTTTCAGGATTCAGATCGCTGCTTTTGAAATTGATGTTACTCGTGAAGCTTCCGTTAAGCTGTTAAGCACAAAAGTCTGGACCTGTTCAGAACACTGCTCTGCCTGTAATACCTGAGGTGCATAGCTAGTTGTGCCCTCTGCATGGGGAACTATTTCCAATTACCTCTCTCTGAGAAAGTACTGGAAGGCAGGGTTGTACAGCTCCAGTGCACTGGTGCTTTGTAGACATCCTTAAGTCTAATTCATTATAATTTCTCTACAGTCGATAGTTGTCCCTTTGTGGAAGTAAAGCTGCGCTTCTGAAAGCTGACACTGTTTTTCTTTTCTTTCTAGTTATGGACATCAGACAGTGCAGGAGAAGAATGTGATGCTGCAGAAGGTGCAGAAAACTAAGCCGCACGTGGGGCGTCATTCTCCCTTTACTTCTCAAGAAACCTTTTTACACGTCTCCATTCCTTATAGCTCCACTTGGATTTCCTATAGCAAAGAAAACCCATCCATGTGTATGGAAATCAATTTATAGTCTTTTCACACTGCAGCTTTGGGAAAACTCCATTCCTTGATTTGTGTTTGTCCTGGCCTTCCTGGTGTGCGGTTACTGCTGTAGAAAAGTATTAATAGCTTCATTTCATATAAACATAAGTAACTTCCAAACACTTATGTAGCGGACGAAGGTGTACCTGGTATTTAAAAAAAAAATCTGAACCAGTTCCTGCCAGTTGACTGTGTTTTGTATTACAGTAAGATATGAAAATGTAGTTAATTGCAACTAAAGAGTGTTCCACATAGCTTTTAATTCTCCACATTCCCTTCTTATTCTGCAGGGTTTCCTTTCCATAATTGACTTGCTACTGTGTATTCTTTTCAGTAGGAATATGGAAGTACTGGGCCAGATCAAGTTGAGCATTTCTAGTTTGGAAAATGACAAATTGAGTTGCTTCCTGTATCATGTAATACAGAAGCTTGCGTGTTTGAAAACAGGGGCTTCTCTTAATCTTCAGTTGCTGCTGTTTAAGTTGATATCCCTTCCCAATAAAGTTCACTTACACTCCTGCCTTTGTAGTTCTGGTATTCACTTTACTATGTATTAGAAGCAGCATGTTACTGCCGGAGTACAGGCAGTGCTTTTTGGCAGACTAAAGTGCATGTCATTTCTTAATACACTGGAATGGGAAAACCAATTGAAGTTCACATGTCCAAGTATAAAATTTAGTACTTTTCCATGCAGGTTTGTGCACATGTGAGAAGGTGTCAAGTTTGTCCAGTGATTGTTATTTAGAGAGTTTGGACCACTATTGTGTGTTGCTAATCATTGATTGTAGTCCCAAAAAAGCCTTGTGAAAATGTTATGCCCTCTGTAACAGCAAAGTAACATTAAATAAAATTACATTTTATAAACCACTTACTGTTGACTTGTAACAATTCCATGTAATCGCTTAAGGGCTAAACTTAAATGTAAGTATCTTGTGCTAGAAGTGTCTTTCTCAAATCTAGTGCATACTTTAAGTCTGCTCTTAAATGAACTGGTTTCATATTTGAACAATGTGCATTTTATGAAAATATCCTGGATAACTTTTCATAGTTAACCTGACATGTGGACTTCTTAATAACTAAATCTACTTGAGCTAATGGCTTCACCTTAATAATGACCTAAGGAAAAATAGCCAAGTTCTTTATATTCTTCCATGGGTTGCAAATTTTCTCATCTAAATTACACACTTTTTTTTTGTAATCTCTTGAAATTCTCTGATATGTCCTCCTGTTGTGTTTTTTCACTGATGGTCATCATTATTATTACAGTATTCCAGCTACACTTTTAGAAATGCAGAGGAATTTGTCCTGCTGTAGAACATTAGTTTGTGTGCTGCCACATCATAATCTGCTTTCTGTTGTTCTTAGACTGCTTTTAGTATTACTGTCTCCCCCAATTTTTGGAGCCTTTTGTAGTAATACATTGCTCTGCTTCCCCCCCCACCCCCCCCCCGCCCCGATCACTTCAGAGTTTTTTCCTAAACCTCTACCTCTTAGTTTCCCATGTTGGTGGGTTTTTGAAAATATTTAACTCCTATTAGTGTCCTGGCTAGACAGGATATGACATTATGAAAAAGGACATATTACTAGTCCTTGCAGGCTTCTGATGGTACATCTTCCACCTTCCATGTTTTTGTTCATTCTTTGAGTGTGCACAATGAGTTTTCCTACAATAAAAATGTTCAGATTATGTGCTTCAATTGACATGCATTGCTTTAAAAAAAAAAAAAAAAAACAAACCAATTGTATCAATTCCATTTTCTTCATGCAGTCACTTTGAATTGCTGTCAAAGTATTGTGTGGCAGGATTCTACATAAACTCATATGCTTCTTAATCGGTGTTTTGGTTTCATAATTTCTTCCCCTCCCCCAAGCATTTCGTATTGATCCTTTGTTTCATAAAGGTTCTAAGTGCTCTCATTCTCCAGGAAAAATGTTTCAGTGCTGACATGTTAGCAGTCAGCTCTATCTGCTCATTTAAGAGTTTGCTTTCTTTGCTGTCTTCTGGAGTACTGTCTTAGCTTGCACTACATTGTCAGCTAACGCCATTCTCGTTTCCTTCCGTTTGCAACTTGTCAAGAGAGTTGTCAGTTTTCCTTACAGGAACAGTATCTGGGCCTTGTATCTAGATTATAGCTTAATTTATTAAATGCTCTTTCTAATGTCTATCAAGCTGGGCAAATTCTAGCTGTCTCTTGTTTATTGCATCTACATTTTGTGCAAAAAATGAATCTTGAAACTGCAACATCAGCTCTTGAATTTTAATAATACTGAATGCAGCAGCATCTTTTCTCATAGTGTTACTTCCAGAATTTGGCCATTTATGTGTATTGTTCTGGAGGGGGGAGGGAATGGAAGGTATATGGGAACAGGATGATGGTACAAAAAAGGAATAGACTGTAATTCCCTAAATGACTTTGCCTGGTCCCCCCCTCTCAGGTAAATTCCATTATTAGTGCAACACCCAGAGTAATTAGGTGCATTCATTTGGTATTACGGTTTCCAGCTCCAGGATAATTTGCGCTTACGTGCTGCCCCACCTGACATAAGAGGACATGCCCCATAGCTTAGGAAATGCTGGACAGACTAACATCTCAAATCCCAAATCATGCTTATTCTTTGCAAGCCAGACATACTATTGACCTTAGCAAAACAACAGTGTCTTTTAGACTAAGGATGGGATTTTTGTATGCTGAATACAGTTGTAAACAGTAAATCTTGTGGGGCAGAGTTATTGTCAACCTCTATAACAAATTTCACAGTAGTGCATTAATCATTTCAACTTCCTTCTTAGTATTTTCAGAATATTAAGAAAAAAGAGTTCTCACCTTTCTGCCAGATGGGTGATGGTAGTAGAGATGGTACTTCACGCTAAGCCACTTTCTTTTGAGGTATTTGTGCTATAACTCAGTTCAGCAAAAGAAGGAGTTTTGTACTTAATTTCTCAGGATCTTTGTTGAAATTAGTAATGTCAACAAACACGCTTTTCTTTTCCTCTTCTCTAAGTATAGTTACAGTATTCTTGGTGTGATAGCAGGCTACCTGTCGTACCAGGAGACAAATTATTTTGTGATTCTATAAAAAAAAAGTGCACTTGCTACTTTGCACCTGACTTTCTTTTGTGCAGTACAAAGCAGTGTAGGAAGACCAGAGTAAGTTTGGGTTTGTGGGGGTATTATTTTGTTCTTTGGGGTCTTTTTGAAAGCTTTTGACTTAGACACACACACACACACAAAAAAAAAGGCCAGAAGAAATACTGATTTGGGTAACCAGAACTTACATAAGCATACAAAATATACTAATATTTTAAATGTTAGTGTGGTTTTCAATGTAATAATAACATCCTAAATATATCTGAGAAATGGTCTGATGCCACCTAAATTATCTTCCATATCAAACCAAGAGGGTAAATTGGGCAATAAATCATCATAGAAAGGAAAAGGACAAACTCTGAAATGTATTCCCAACACTATTGGGAATATATTGGGAAGACTACAACCTTGAAGTCCCAGTTCTACATCTGAAGTCCCAGACCTCTGTAACAAGAACTAACCACCTCTTTCGTGTGAGCATAGCTAGATGACACGACTGCTGAGAGCTCCAGCAACTACAGCTTGGCCAGCTTTCAGATGAATAAAATGCCAGTGTGGGAAGGGTGAAATGTTAGTACCAGCTTTGGACTACTGCCATGATATTTTCCACTACGCTATGAAGACTAACTTGCTAGAGGAATGCCTTTGTCATCTTCTGCCAGAATGCTTAAATTGATAAACAGACACGAGTACGTCTCTGAAAATAAAATACTTGATCACATAGTTTTGAGAAACTTAAATTTCTCTATGTGCAAACCCGTTTAAGGCAAGTTTGTCTGTGGTGTAGGATCTGTGAGTTGACATCAGTGTAAGAATCCCTGAGGTGAGATTCTGTAAATGCCATTAGAAATGGCTCATAAGCTCTTTTATTGCAAATTATATTCTCAGTTGTCCAATCTCTTCGCTTAGTTATATCCTCGTTCCTGCTGCTGTGGTCATCATAATTGTAAAATCCCTCTACTTCTGGAAACAAAAGGACGGTTTATAAAACCTGTTTGTGGGGGGAAGGGTGGGGGTTTTTAGGCCTTGGCTTCACATTAACGTATGGCTGCTGATCTTGTTATTGCTGAGCAGATGCTGGGTATTTCAGATTTGTTGTAAATCTGTTGGGATCAATAAAAGGGGCTCGTTATGGCCCTGTAAGAGGGAGGAAAAGGAGAGGGAGAAGAGATGTTTGTTTCTATACTCTAAATTACTTAAATTGCACTCTCCAATGAAAACTCCTGATGTGTTACAGCCAGGGAGTGATAAAGTTTGGTCTCAGCACTGACAGCAATAACAAAGCTGTACATGATAACATTCTTCACATAACTCAGTCTTCCAAAGAGATTTTGTGCGTGGATTGGAGATACTATAGCCTCTGTGGTACAGGATGCTTGAATCAGCCCAGTTAAGTTTAGATGAGAAAATACTTGAGTTTCTATTCACAGAACAAATTATGCCAATGTGAACCCAGAGGCAACTGAATGCTGTGGGGCTATTTTATAAAATGGCAGAATCAAGGTTTTGCTGCTCTCTCATCCCTTTGAAAACTCTGGACTGCCATAAAAAGCTGCTTTTGCTCTGTTAGCGTAATTTCCATTGGTTTCAATGTATATGTGGTTTAAATTCCATTTATACGGCTAATTTGATAAGTCATATTCGGAATAAATGGTCTGAAGAAGATCTTGCTATCTGATTTAAAAGGTTTCAGTAGCTGGTGAGCTTTATTCATTGCTTAATTCACCTTTAATGTTAGAATTAATCAGTTTAAATACAGAACCTTGAGAATATAAATCAAGTTTTATAGATCAGGCCTTCAG